TAAAGGACATGGACTCATCTCTGGGTAGCTCTTCCAAGTTCAGTGAAGTTGTGACACAAGATGAAAGGAAAAAATATTCTCTCCTTAGTTGGGGAAAAAATGGAAGCTTTGTGAACTTGATTGTACAACATGCAGCTTATATTTCAACAATACAGTTTTCAAAATGGTTGGATGTTTTATTTGTACATTTGTCAAATAATATATACCATAGATGTAAAGACAAAATTAACAGAAGACAAATGACAGCTTTATTCTGAGAAACTTGTGAAAGCACTTGGGATAAACTGGAAAACTGATCAGACTTTTGTTTGTTTTTTAAATACAGTCTGTGTTTAAGGCCCTGTTTACTTAGTAAATTTTGGAATTAGAAATCTACAAATAATGTGTACAATATATCAGTACTATAGTAAAATTCTAAAAATATTATTTATTATCTAAATAACGGCAGAGTAAAGAGACTATTAGTTCAAACAGATGAAAAAAGTAAATTAATGAAAACAAGATGAAACTTTTAGCATGCTTGATTTATTGGTCACAAGTATTTTGGACTTAGCAACAGTTTTTTTGACTACTTGGACTGTCTTTTGTATGAGTGCAAGCACATACAAACATACCAGGGATTATGCCCATGTATAAATGACAGTAGAATCAGAACTCAATTTTGCGTATTGGCTAAATAGGGAATGGCTGCCACTGGCTTGGTGGTTTCATTACAGAGTTCACTGTAATAATCCCCAGGTTTCACAGCTCAAAACCAAAAAACTAACCTACCAAAGCAATGAGGTAAGTGTTAAGAAGTCATATATATACCTACACCAAATAAATGCTTTTATGTTTTCTTTTAAAAGCACTACTGCACCCTTTACATTTCGTACTAGAAAAATATTTGAAGCTGCAATAGATGTAAGAAACATTCTTGACACTTAAAAAATATTTTTTCTACTCATATCAATGAAGACAGACATATTTATAACTTTATATAAATGGAATGTATACCAAGTAGTCTTAAAGTAGTTACAATGCATTGCAATTGTTTTATTATAACAAATAAATTCACTTAGACTTTTTATATAATGTTGTGCAAAGGAAGTGTTTTGACTTGCACTAGCAGACTTCCGTCTGAAAATATATTTTATAATCTCAGTTTGCAAAAAAAATAATTTTGAATAATTTTGAACAATCACTTTCCCACTGTTTCTGCAGTTTATTTATATACCAACGCGAGAGGTACGAAGAGCTAAAACAGCTGGCAAAATGACATCCTAAGACACACTAAATAGAGAAGCAAAAATAATCTATTCTAAAATAATTAGATGGAAATGGTTCTACTGAAAATTAGTGGCATCTCTTTCACATAGATATATAAAACTTTGTACAAATGCATAAATATGCACAGGGCACAGCAAAAAAAAATCCATCTGATGAAAACTGAGGAATATCAGATTTTTGTTTAATCAGGTCTGCTGTGAAGCTGTTTTGTGAAGCAAGCTACCACTTTTTAATAAAAATTTTATTTGCTAATTTTTGCTAACATGAGTTGTATTCAAATGCCTTCTTTGTTCCCATTTTAATACATCTTAAAGTTTCTCCTCAAGAAATTACTCCTTTCCAAATCTTAGTTTGTTACTAATATGTTCAAATAAGATTCTTATAGTGCGTTGAGAACGTAGATGTATTAATTTCACATCCTTTTATATAAGTCAGTTTGTGTTAGTATAAAAAAAGAAGTCTAAAGAGAAGCAAATGGTGAAGTTAAGATATTTCAGAGTTTTAATGAATTCATAAGCCACTCTCACCTGCTACCACTTGAAATCCATAAAGCAAGAGCACTTCACTGACAGACACAGAGGGTGCAGATGGGAATAGGGGAGGAGGGTTTGGCAAACTGCATGGATTTAATTTTCTAAACAAAGACAGTTACAATGCTTATTGGTGTATATTGGTTAGCATAATAAATCTTCTCCCCATCACTTTTTGCCATATTTAGCATAAATGGTATATAAATCCAAAGATAACAGAGTTCTTTCTGAGGAGAAAGCCTCTATGATTTGGAGTAACTCCTTAGCTGATAACAGCCGTCCTTGTTGATGCCTCCACTGTGGGGAAACTTTTGTAGGGGGTTCTAGTTGTCCATATGCAAATCAAGTACTTCTCATAAATTCGGTTTACTTACTGAAGAGCAAGGAACTATTTACATTGCTTTCTTTCTCATTGTTTTAAAGGCACTGCCTTGTGACTGATCAGTAGATTGCTGCTCAGGAGTCACAGCTTTTCTCAGGTATCTGTATTGCTATCTGTAGGTAGAGCCAGTGTGGTGGTAGGGAGAGGCAAGACTATAGTTACAGTCGCTCTTCCAGTAAGAGGTTTGCTAGTTCATGGAACGCAAGTGATGGGACTGGGAAATGTTACGTTATGGTTAAGGATCAATGAAAGAAGAGGCATGGCCACAGAGGTTTATGGAGACTCCAAAACCATAAAGAACAAATGAGGCTGACGAAGAAAATGGCAGTGCTCTGGTGAGAAGGGTGGGACATAGAGAAGGCGGTTTCTAAGCTATTCCAGATGAAGAAGCAGGCTACTGCACTTTCTCAGGGTGAGGGGACCACAAAGGTATCATGTAGCTCTATGAAGAGTAGATGCTGTAGGCCTGAGAAGAGTTTTGGCCTGGTAACAGAAGATATTTTAAGGAGAGTCTTAAATTTTAGAGCCCTTCACTTAAATTCTGAAAACACATAGCTTTTCAATAGTGTGCATGCATCTGGCAGTTGCAGGAAACTACAAGTTCCTAGACTTTGCAAATAGCCTCGAGAATCATGCTTAACGTTTTAGCAAATATAGGATGTACACCCCTGTTTTCCTGGGACACTCAGACCTCTTGCTATTCCTAATAAGGAACTATAACAGGCCTTCAGGATACATATTTATGTACAATCACTTGCTTTGGAGCCAAATTTTGCCACAAAAAAAAAAAAACTATGTCTTGAATGACACACTAAGTGTGACTTGCATCTAAAACTGTGTATGACATCTCACATTAGTCATCAATTCTTCATTCTAAAGCCATAATTTCACCTGTTCCTTCATTTTTAGAGAATGTTTCCTTTTCCAATATTTTCATACCAATTCCTGACTCTGAATTTACTGTAGTTGCTGCTAACACTTGCTTTTTATTTCAACTCAGGAAGCCTCATCCAGGAGCAACAGTGACGACTATCTCAGATAAAGGCCTTAGCTTTTTTCCATGCCATTCTCTCTCCATGTTCTATAAAATACCTAATAGCAAGGAAATGTTCACTGGCTTTTAATGAAGAAATAATCCTGCCAACATCTTTCATGGCATCCTGTAAGTCCACCTGGGAAGATTTCAGTGGTCCAAACGGAGTGTGAACTCCAGTTAAAGAGAAGTGAAAAGCACCTCAAGAGTTTCCTGAAAATAGCATTGAAATTAGGAAAATTCAGGTTAAGAACCTTGTTCTGCTTCTCCCCTAGTTTTGTACTCTAGGGAGGTAATTCCAGGCAAAAAAGTAGGAGATTAATATAGGTACTTAAGTTCAATAGTGTTACAGAAGTCAACAAAACTAGGAACTTCAGTCCTCATCTAGTGTGTCTGCTTTGTGGTGGATCAAATACACTCTGTGGTCTCCTAGCAGATTGTCTCACAGAATTGGAACTTAGTTGCTATTTGCTGTGATTCTTGCCCAGAACTAATTCTGAAGAGGGAAGGTGTGTATAGGTGGATGAAGGGTATGAGAAGATAAGGAGGTAAAAAAGAATTAACATTTTAACCAATGCTAGTCTAAACATGATTTTTTTTTTTCCTTTCTTAATGTAGACTCACGTTAAGATATGTTTAGTTGGAATACAGATGGCTAAAGTTGAATGCTTGGTTTCTCTGTGTTTTACTACTTTTGGGTAGACTGAGAGAATTTTAATCTGTGGAGGAAAAAAATGATTGTGTTGGCCAAAATGCACAGTCTAATTTTGACCTAAACAGAGGAGTTTTCCTTCAGAAAATAAAATCCTGTGTGACCAGGGGCTCACTCTGTTATGGGAGTCAGTTGTATGGCCTCACACTCCTTCATGCCGGCACAAGTACATACAAGTAATGTGGCTAGAAAATATGCCTCAGCAGTTTGAGCAAATGCAACTACGGCACGTTTTGCTATTTTCGTATGCAAAAGGGTGAATGCCGGTGGGATGAAGCTCTGAAACAGAACTAGAGGATAGGAAAGACATGCATGTGGTAGAGATAGTAATAGGGGCTACATTTTTTTTCACCAAAAAACATTTCCATAAATTAAAATAGTAAGCAGAAATAAACAAGAGTCTTTTCTCTACCAAACAGCAAGTTGGACAGGATGCAACAGTTACAGAAGTAATTTGTAGTTAAGTAACTGCTTATTAAATAAATGAATTACCACATAGCTTCAAAGCAGTCATCAGATTTTTGACCTTAAAATGTACGTATTACTCTCTGGGTTGGAAATGAGAAATTACCAAAAGAAATAACAACTCAAAACAGGGCAGTCACAGAGAATACAGAAACAAGTTCTGCCACTAGGACACCTGCTGTCCTCCACTGACGACAAAGGGCAGTCCAGACATGTATGAGAGGGCAAAAGTCGTCATTTACTGTCCAACTCACACACACAGGGCAAAAATAATTTACAGTTTATTACTCCTGTGAGAAAAATATTCAGGAACAGATAAATTCATGTTTAGAACGAAAAGTGACAGAATTACCCGGTTACACTTAAACCCCATACATATTCATACACAAGCTTATGTGCTGTACATTGTCATAATGATGGAGTTGAAAATTTACTAAATACAGAAGTATTTGCAAGTCTATTTCCTAGTAGGTAAAATTACAATATATACTGATGGATTTATGGTGTGCATATATATACACATATATATCGGAGGATATACATATGCACACCAAGTATATCTTTATATTAAAACAGGAGTACATTGCTATACCAGTGCCAGTAGGAGAGAGCTGAAAGGTTACTGGGTATCTGAGGATTCACTGTCAGTTTGCAGAAGCCATGTTTTCCCAGTCTGTTCCCAGCTCTATCAGGAAAGCGCACTGCAGCATTACCCAGCGACAGCTGTTGTTACTCCATCCTGGAAACACTGTGCTTTCCAATTACTACATGTGGAAGCAACACAATTTAACAGGTTCTTGTTTGCAGAAATCTTAACAGCTGACATCCAACCCAGTGATGGGAAGCATCGGGACTAGATCACAGAAAGCTGAAATACTTCATACCATTACTATACACCAGCAAATCCAGGCACTTAACACTATCAGCACTTTTATTCTCAACTGTTCTAGACTATGGTGAAAGCTTATCTTAAAATCAAGAACAAACTTCCCATAGACTTCAGTAGGATAGGACATCACCTTACATTCTAACAGTACTGTATTTTAATGAATCCAGGAATATTAAATGTTTGGCAAAGTGCATGTTTTAAAAAGAACCATTCAGATATTTATAATAGCGTGACTGAACTTCAGAGTCAACATATGATATATGCTCTACAAGATAAAGGCACAGTATTTACAGGTACTCTTACCGCTGCAGCTTTAAATAAGATAAAGTAAATAACCACTACCATCTTTTAAATTGAACTGTTGAGAATTATAATAATAATCTTTCATAAAAAAGTAGATATGCTTGTGCATTTAGTACTCTTGATTCTGGAACCATTTGAACATGGGCATCACTAACATACACCCACTGTCCTGCTGATGCTCCCATGGCTTCTTTTAAACCTGAAATGCAAAAGCAAAAAAAGTTGTTTCTTGTCTTTTACCTCATCATCAAACAAATTCAGTGGATATTTCAAAAAGCAAGAGAAGCTTCTAACCCACAGGAATAACTCATGATTTAGATGCAGTCCAGTATTTGTACTTTGAAATTTACAGGTCAGTAAGAGAAACTGGTGGAAAACAGTGCTTATAAATGTACACTGCCATAGCTTTTTTCATTTTTTTTTTTAAAAGCCTAAAACATTGCAGGTATAGCTTACTGAGTTCTAACAGTAAGTTATGCTAGCACACAACCAGCTCCAACATAGAAAGAAACCATAGTTCAAAAGCTGACCAGTGTGAAATTGAGAACACAAAAAGATCTAATTTGTTCTCATAATCATTGCAAGGGAAGTATAAGACTGAGAGAGACTTCTGTTTTTTTAAAAAAAAAAAAAAAAGTTCTTTTGGGAAATGACCTTCAAATGCAAAGTGATCTACACAGGATAGACAGGAGAGTGCTTGGTTCTCACTTCCCCCATGAAGGGAAACAGTAAATATATTTACTTTACTCTGACAGCTCAACATTCTTGCCTCCACAAGTCATTCACTAACAGATTCTATGCTAGAATCGTATTTCATTCTGCATATCCAAAACATATTAATAAGAACTAGTATGCTGTTCTCAAAATACCAACAGAAACCCTACAGCAAACCTCATATCCTCCATCAAAAAGTTTCTTGCTGTTCACATTAAAGAAGAGTATTCCAGATTTTTAAGCATTAAAAAATTTCCAAGCCTAAAATAGGTGAAATACTCCAATATATGAAAAATTTAATTTAAATTCTTAGGGATTCAGCTCTTCTACTAGAACATTTTCAAATACTAAATATGCCAAATAATTACATTTTACAGGGCACAACTATTCCTCAGGACATATTATTTTGACTAGGAAAGAGAGGAGACTTCTCCATCAGTTCTCTGTTTAATAATTGAACCAAAATTCCATTATTCACTCAGCTTTATGTGGGCTTAATACAGAAGTAGGTCATGTACTGGGTGTAACAGAAAATAAAACGGAATTGATTTATGTGGCCCTAACAGTACCAGAATATTCTGAGCTAAAGCAATTATTTGCTATAAATCCTCTTACGGGTAAACATCTGTAGCCAGTGGTTGCTTTTGGTTTTACTTGCAGAGAAAAGAGGCTCTGTTTGTACATACCTAGAACGTTCTTAGTCGTAGAAATATGCTCTAGTAATTTCTTGGAAGGTGTCCTGACTTTCACATAAGCCGCATAATGACCACCTCTCATTGACCCACTGTGCTCCACTATTCCGTAAAGACTATATAGCACTCTTGCACCATCCGTAACATTCTGCATTCCCAGAAACACAGAAAACAAAGATAAATTATTTCACGATGAACTGTACAGATATCTTAACTAGCTTTCATCACTATTACTTTAAAAGAAGCAAACAGACATCTACAGCACTTCCAATGGCAAAATACAACTATTAAAAATACTCAAGAGTCTATTAATTGAATTTAGTTACCATATAAGCAGCAATACTTGTCCTTAATGCTGTTAGATAAACTACCACCATCAGGCACCATAGCTTAACCAGTACTAGTTAACATCCATGATATCCTTGATATGAATGGAATTTCAATTAGTTACAATTCTGATCTTGGGATACTATTTGAAAACATTCACTCTGTAATTTCTCTAGGAAAGGAGGGAATAAAAAACATCATCATCAATCCAGTTTAACTTGTGCTCAAGACAACAACTGCTGAAGTACAATAAAAATAAAATTTGAAATATGTACCTTGCAAGATGCAGAACAAAATGGTGCTAAGTCTAAAATCAGTGGGAAATCCACATGCCTATTTACTTTCCGTAGACTCAAACCAGCCTTCAAAAGAAAAGAAAAGGCTGTAAGATAAATATTTTTACTAGGAAGCTTTTTAAAGCTAAAGTGTATTACTATGAAAATAAACCAAAACCAATAATAAGATTGTAACTGATGTAAACATCCTTTCTTATGTTTTCAATACAGTGCCTGCTACACATAAGCATGATGGACATGTAAGAGGTTTCCCTGGATACATCCGAATGGCTAAATGCACTGTGAAGGTATTAGACAGTCAAAAATGTTTCAGAACGGAAATAAATAGTGGTTCTACCAGTTCTCCATACAAAAAGCAAATATCAGCATGCACAGTGATGCTTAAAAAATTGCTTGTCCATCAGTGAGGCAGAGGAATATACAAGGGGGTTTTGGCCTTTTACCTGGTGGAATCTTTTCAGATGAAGAATAAGAATAGCAGGAACTGAAGAAATCAGCAGCTGTTTCCGAGCATTTGTGTAGACACCATCCATTTTCTTTTCTGTATTTATGAGTATCAAAATAAAGTGAGGGCAGTCATGCAGAATTTAAGTATTTTTTAAACATCTGATAGATTAGAACTACGTTGCAATGATTTTGTTCGTGTTGTATAAAGTGAAATTTTGTGGAGTAACAAAAATATTTTCTCATTTTTCTCGTTTTTAATAAATATCATCTGCCAAATCTGCGCATTATTTTAACCTGTCCTGCGCAAATCAGATCAAAAGTTGGACGCACGTGCACTATCTGGGTCAACTTGCACAGAAATACATACATTGTCTGTTACTATAGCACCCATCTTCCCTGTTAAATCCACTTCATCTGAAATGGATGATCACTGAAACAAGAAATGGAAGGCACTGGTCTCTTCATCTATGCTAATGTCCTAACCACTAAGATAAAGATTAATTTTACATTCTTCAGTTCCTTCTGAGTGACTACATACTTTGTGTTCATTTAAGAGAAGGGACTGAGGGAGGGTGTCTACTTCAGGATGCTTCATGATCTGCTGGCTTAAGCACACAGGACTGGGAAATGGGGACTCCAAGACCCCTGTGGTGCAGTGGGAATTGAATCTGGGGCTCTTAACAAAAGATAGTTCAGTGGACACCTCTACAGTAAAAGCATTTTGTGTGCTGAATAATTAATTCATTTACTGGTTTTACACATGTACAAAGGAAAATATTTCGAGGTAGAGCATTTCAAGTAAAAGTAGGTGACTTCTTACACTTTTTGCTTTAGAAGGAAAAAAATTAATGATTAATTATGATTTTCCCTTTCCATTTTTCACTGTGCTCATGGAACCAAAATATTATTTATATAGCACTTACTCTCAGTCCAGTCATGACAAATGAATGATTATAAAATACTTTTTAGATGAGTTTTTCTGAATTTACTCATGCTTAACTTAGCTATAAATGCACAGAAAACACGCAATTTTTTGTCACTGTAGGATTTCCCTTTCTATTTTATTTACAAATAATCAGAAGAGCTTAATTTTTTTAATCTTTCTGAATTATAATACATTAAAAAAAATGCTCCAGTCCTTTTTAAAAGTTCATTTTTCATTATATCTCAATTGTTTTTCTTACTCAGTGAATCCTAATGGTCTGCTCAGGCTATAGAAACATCAAGGAAAACATTGTCACAAGAAGGTAGTTCTCTCTCATCTCCATTCTTACAAATCTTTGTAAGTTTTTTCCCCCTCTTCATTACAATTGTCTTTTCTTGCCCCTCTTACATACTTAACGACATGACTTCCTTAAGTATGTAAGATGCTAGAGCTGAATATTACAGCATTTATATCAAAGCTTCAGGGATTGTAAAGAACAGAAACAGCAGCAAAGACTAATATCAAATGATGAGCCTATTCAGTTTCTGGTCATCTTTAAATGGATAAAATAAAGAAAAGATGCAAAATAAATTCTAAGCTACATCTACGATTATGTTCTAATATAAAACTTAGTCTTGTTGCCTTCGCAGGATGAAGTTTTAAATTGTAAGAAGCAAGTTCTGCTTGGGGAGGCATTTTCTATTTATCCAGAAGGGGGAGGCCCATGCTGGAGCAATGAAACAGCAGTGAGCGCACAGGTTTCCAGAGGCATTTTGTAAAGTGTCCAGACAGATACAAGCACTATACCTGTGGAGTTGGTTTTCTTCTGATACTTCTGTTTCCTTTCTGTGCAGCTCTCACATAAAAGCTTGTTGTTCCCCATTAGAAGCTCTACAGAAGTAAACTGGTAAAGGCAGGACTGAACAGAACATTCCTTTGAGCTAGTTATGTAGCTTTGGGAAAGCGTCTGGAAAGCATTTTGAGGGCTTTGGGATAGTGGGGATTTGTCTACTGCAAACATGGAATTATTTGATAAACCCAATGCTGGATCCCCACGGCTCAAGTTTTTATCTTCGTTTATAGTATCACAGAAGCTGAGTTTGGATATGGCACTGGAAATCATTTCATCATTACTGTCACTTGGTTTGTTGTAAGGCTTTTTAAGATTTATGTGGTTGATGTGCAAACCAGACATGTTGCTGGATGGGCTGAAAGCTGTTTGCTTAGAAGCACTTTCGCTTTCTGAGGCTTCACTGTCTGCATCAAAGCTGCTTTCAGAGCGGCTGGCCTCCTTCTCGCTGCCGTCTGTCTGACTTCCATTTATAGCAGAGTCAGCAGTCATGTCTTTGGAGTACAGGACACCAGAGCTATCTTCCAGCTCAAGCTTTTTTGTTTTTTCCTGCATGATAACAGGGCTTCTTTCTTCTTCATTTGAGGAACTTTTTCTGGCAAGCCGTCTCTCCTGGTTCAATTGATTCTGTAAATTATGGCATTATTATTTCAGTAATATAGGGGGGAAACAGAAAACAGATCTGTGATCTAACATAGCTTTTGAAACATGAAAAATTCAAAGCAAATTAAACCCATTATTTTATATTCTCCATCTCTTAGATGTTTAAGCTACTTGATTCCCTTAAGATCTTTTAAAACCAATTTAGGATTAGAAACCTACACCCTAGCCAGCTAAGAGCATTATCCTTACTGTGAGATCAATACTTCCCACAACTAATTACATTCACTTTATGACAGCTGTGGATGGCATATCTGAAGCGGTATTCACTTAATCTAACTTCAGCTTCTAAAAGGCTCTCAAGTTTAAGCTAGTCCCCTAGCCTCCCATCAGAGGCCTTGGCTGATGAGAACTTCCAGAAGAAAATTCAACTAACCTTGTAGGCATTTGTCTTAGAATTAAATAAAGCATCCCTAGTAGTATGTTTGCCAATTTGTGTATTATCTTAAGTTATTTTTTTATTTTATCAAGATTGCAAGAAGAAAAAAAAACTTTGCTGACACAGAAACTATAGATTAAAATAAACAACATAAAAAGCTACCATAATTTTAGGTGATTTATAAACACTCAGGATTCTCTTCTTTCTTTCGTTTGGCTGCTTTCCAAAAGATATGAGCAACTTTCCTCCCCCTTTGCTTTCTCCTTTATCAGAGTTGGATAAAAATTCCAGTTATAGCAGGGGGAATCCTTCCATTCACCTCAACAGTTTGAGTTTCAGGCCTTTTCTCCTCTAACAGTCAGTCCCTGCACCTTGTTCTTACCATCCTTTCCTTTGTTTCTACCACATGTCCTTTTTCTACTTCTGTCTCGTTCTCTTCTCCTATCAGTCTTTTATATGGTTATTCTGTTGTATTTTTTCTTCACATGTATTTGGTGTGTTAGGACCTGATTCAGGCACAGACCCCTTTCAGTAGGAGTGACTCAGATACCAGGTACAAAAATCTAAAATTGCCATAACCTCATAACCTGTAGTCTAGGCATGTTCCTAAGATAAGGCTCATAATTCCCTCTGAGCGTCAGGGGCCCTGTACTTGCATCTTCCACTTCCTGGCATTAACAAATTGCCTTTAAACAAAGTGACACAGAGGACCAGTTAAGCTCACATCAGTGCTTTCACAGAACAAACTACAGAAACTTTCACAGGTTGCTTCCATTACAGGGAACCTAAGTGGAGGGAAACACCTTCTGCACACCTGATCACGTGCCTAAGCTGCAGCAAGGGTGTAACTTTAGACATGGCTTTGGGTTTAGTATTTCCTCCTGACTATCTTTAGATAGCTTCTCATTTGGTAGAGAGAGTTTCTGGACTTCTTTCATTTTGGATCCCACTCCAGGTCATGGGTACCAAAACACTAGGCACTACAGGTAACTGCCTAACTTGCAGGTACGGAACTTTGGTCAGCCTATCCCTTAAATAGACTCAATTCATGAACAATCCCGAAGCACACAGTCAGTTTTAATCCAAATGAAGTCCATGTGGAAGACAAAAAAAATTACTGAATATTTTCTTAAACAGGGTTTAAAACTACACTAAGTGTACAACTCCGTAATTCAAGTCCTTCAACTCATAAGCAAGTAAACAGTTTAGAAAAAAAATAATAAAATCACAATAAAAATCGTTAGAAACCCCTAAAATATTTTACATTAGGCCCATTTCTTGTCTCCATTAAACTTGCTTGCTTTATAAATAGAGAAGAGGGAGAGGAACTTATCTGAAATTACTGCTAGTGTTCAGGGATATCATGGAAACAGCAGTCAAAAAATTCTTAAAATTATGAAGCTACTCATTTCCGGAGAAAAGCCTAACAACCAGTGTTCAGGTACTCTGTTTCCTACAAAATCACCCACAGGACACCCCTCATTTTCACAAGCAAACTTACAAACTGATGAACTGAAGTCACAGAACATCAACAAACACTGATGGAATTCAACACTTACTTGTTTTGGATTAGAAGATATGCAGAACAGATATATTACACCGAAAATAATTACCAAAAAAGTCTAAAATAATGATAAATAAATGTCTGAAAAGATGGAGAGAGAGTGGGGAATCACTAAGCCTCACCAACTAGACAGACATACTTAATAGGTCACTTTATCCATTCTTACTGAAAGCAGAGTTATTGTTTCCTTTATATTAGTCTGCCTAATGTAGTTTATTGAATCCATACTGTATTTTATTTTCTTAATTTTGAAAATGTTTCAGTAATTGTTTTTTATGTATCAGTATTAACACTATTACTAAGATTCTAATTGGCCACATAACCCTATGTGGATGTTAAGGCTTATTAAAAAAAAGAATGTTAATCCTGACAGTATATGACATATAATGACATTATATGTCAGTAATGACAATAAGAGCCTTTGTCACGTTTCATTAACAATAATATATGTGCACAGTAATTATTACATATTTCTTTTAATCTGTAAACACTACTACATAGAAATAATTAATTCCATTAGGCTGGCACATTTGCAGAACCCTTTTGCTACCATCAGAAAGAACTGTATTAGGAGGCTGCACTGGAGACAGGCTGAACCGAGCTCCCCAGCCCTTGGGCTGCTGAAGGTCAAGTGGGTCACAGGAACTGTGCTCTCAGTCTCCAAGAGTCTCTGGCTGTACTGCTTTTGCTGTACCCACTGCCAGCTAATCCCTCAGATGGCACTAACGCAGACTTGCCTGCTCTCTTAGCCAGCATTACAGTTCTTGTGATTGCAACCAGAAACAAACTACCAGGACACCAAAAGAAAAGCAGTCCACAAAACCAAAAGCAACATAAATTGAAACTAACTTGCAGATTTTTTTTTCCCCCTTACAAATGAAACCCTGTAACTGAAAACTAAATGCTTCCCAATGACTGTCGTTTCTCAACACTTCTAATAATGACCTAAATATTCTAAAACAAGTTTGTGTCAGCTATATGTATACAAAAAATCCCCATTGATAGATGTCAAAATTCCCACCCATGTAGCCCTAGAAACTTTAGAATAAATTCAAGATGACTGGTTAGTGCAAGTATTTAAGTTCTTACCTTATCTTTTGTTAAAGTGTGTTTCTTGACAATTTTGGGTTGATTATTCAGTGCGGTGAAAGAAGAACAGTTATACTGCCCAAGATGTGCCTCTTGTACACTTTTACCTTTACCTGTTCTTCCCAAAGGCACAGGTTTTGCAACCTAAGAAATTAGACAGGAAATCAGGAAAGGAAATATGCCAATTTTGTATTCCTTTGCAACCTAGAGAAAAGATGAATGTAGGTGGGTTTTCATCCTTTACTTTAGAAAACAGGAACCCACATAAATCCAATTAACTGCCCCCTGAATTGTGGTTTAAGGCTACATTCTAATTTTATCATAAACACACTGTCAGCATCTTTGAAGAATCAACTGAGGGCCACAAGAAACAGGAATGATACAAAATTCCTGCACAGAATACATACCAAATAATCTATTTTAGTATTGCATAAGCACATACATAACTGTACAAGATATGAATTTATCAAAGGGGGCATAGCTCCTCACAAGTCAGTCCCTGGTACACCTTATGACGTGATGAAGGAGCTGCTACACATCCCCCAGCATATCGAGACTATAAAAGGAAAGAGATGACCATAAAGTAACACACGTCCTCAAGAAAGAGCAGCGATTGCTAAAAGCCGCCAGATCTGTCTGTCTCAAACAGAACCCATGAAGTTCCCTTGTCACACATGTGGGCCAGGAAGCACTGGGGCCTGGACACTCAAAATGTTCTTAAAGCTTTAACTCCCACAGATATCTGTGCTCAATGCAGCAACAAAGATAAGAATTTTTTATGAGCAAAACTGGTGTTTGAAGACAAGTACATTTTATACAGGATTAAATATTACATTAAATACTCTCCCTTAAATATACATGAATATATGCAGGGTGGGGGAAGAACCATTCCCAACCCACCCCCCCTAATTTCAAATGAAATCCCCAAGTCCTGCCAAACCAGAGTATATTCCTTTAAAGGCACGCAGTTCCTCTGCAGCTAATGGAGGCATTCTGTGAAATGCCAAAAATGCCAGAATAAATATATTCAAAGTTTCAAAGTCTATCCATTTTTACACTGTCTCGTCCCATAGGCATGCTTTAGGCCAAGAGACTCAGGTTCTCTAGATGCAAACCACTAGGCTAGAATCTCACTTTCTGGACCTTAAAAAAAAAGTTTATAATCATTCTGTTCATAAAGTATGTACTAAAAATACTACTAAATTAAGCTAATCTCAGACCTACATATACTGTAAATTACAATGGTCATTTTTTCAAAGTTTGGACTAATTAAAAAATATATGCACTTAGGACATTGTACATCTATATATATAAATAAAATCATATCATAAATAGAGTTATGACAGTACATGTATTTATGGACAAGCATACATTTTTAGGCTTGAAATCAAAACTGTGTGTATATCCATAAACATCTTCCTAAAGGTATGTGAAAACAATCCACTGGAAGCAATAGGTATTTATTACATATTCTGTTTCTTACCCTCTCCTCTATTATAGGAAGTGAAAGATCAATGAAAGGTTCTTTTACTGTTGAAATCTTGAAGAAAAAGAGAAAATGCATATTAAAAGCAAAGAAAAATACCTGGGTTTAGCACATAGTTCCCATTCTTAAATCAAATTATTATCAAAAACTATACAAAAAGCTAAATTAGTTACAAGGTGTATCAAACTACAATGAAGAACTTCCCACAAACTTCTTTTTTGTTTTTTACTTTTAAGTTAGCACTGATTTTCTTTCTAACAGTGCCCAAAATTTCAGCATACAGACACAAAGAGCAAGGCCTTTCATCTGGGCACGAACTGGACCTAGACACAGTGTGGTGCTCAGTTTCTCTGAGCTCCAGACAGATTTTCGAGTCATGTGGGCCTTCTAGATGGTACAATTCTGCAGAACGCTAACTTTTAGAGCTTCCTGACCCTGGACGCTTCTGCACAGGCATTGGACCTCATACACGGTTAAGCAGCAAGGACTGGTTAATGACAGTTAGATGAAAGGTTCTAACCTGACACTCTCAGAAAAGATTGTCAGGCTTACTGGTTACAGCCAAAAGCTTTATTAGAAATCTTCACACCATAACGTATGCTAGTAGTTGTTAAAATAAATCCAGTTACTGGGGGAAAAGGACTGAGAAAAAAACAACCTTCTTTTCTGTACTCAAGTTTTATTTTGCCATCTATAAGCTGTGTAAAAATCTAAGCTGAAACTGGAAATATCTGGCAAATCATATATAAAGACATTCTCCCTCAGCACTGTCCATCTACCTTTATGACCAGAACATCCTGTCAAGCCTGTCCCTTAAGCTCTTTATCCAAAACTGACTTATCTTACCTCTGGGAAGATTCTGAAAAACAAGGCCTTAAAAAAAAAAATAAAAATCATCTTGTACATTAAGTTACTCAACAGAGTCATACGCTCAATTACTGTCATCGTTGCCCTTCTCTCATATTTGTGACCCTGTCTTCCACCTGCGACATTTGATGCGGACTGTAGGTGTCTTTTTACCTGTTGTGTGAGGAACTCGGCATGGTTTAGCTTCCAGAAAAGCAATAAATGAGATCAAACCTATTGTAACTGTGAGGAATGACTGCCTGATGAGCGGTGTTCAAACAGGGCTTCCTCTGAAGAGTGAGTTTGCATGAACAGACATTAGTCAAAAATATCTTTGCCAATGCAGGCAAAGCAAAGCGAATGCTAAATTCTTCCTCAAACGGCTACAGCTAAAAAATTCCCAAGCCCTGTGCAGGCAGAATATAAAAATCCAGCAAAACTAAATGAGACATACAAAATACATACAACCTCTATTTTGTATATAGTCGAAGTTCTTCATTGATGCTAGCACCACACTAAAGTGTAATCTGCACATAGCACACAGGGAAGTTTACCTGGCACTGCAGGTCTGTGCTTAATTATTCAGACTGACTGATTTACTTAATCTCTATAATATGAAATATAATGTTTTATAGCAAACACAAATGTAACATTCAGTTAGAAAAGTCATGCAAATAAGATTTTTTTTCTTGTTCAAAGTTAAAGAAAATTACAAGGATCATGGAAAGCATTTATGATGGAATGTCAGTAATATTAATTATGAAAGGAATATGCTGTTCATTAGAGTTATTATGTTAATTGTCAAAAATATTTCAAGAAACAAAAAAATAATTTTAGCATTTCCCCACTTATACTAATTCCAAGTAAGTAATTCCCAATTTTCATGTATATTCCAGAAGAGCAGGCAGGAGGATTTATGTTTTAAGATAGGTAGGTATTTTAAAATTATCAAATAAAACTGGGGTGTAACACAGATAATTACAGAATTTGGAACCTCCAGCCTTAAGTTAGATGTAAAATCAAGCCCAGGACTTGAATCCTTTTTTGAATTCAAAGGATCCTTCTTCTTAGGTTTGGGAGGATAATGCTTTAAAGAAGGAATAAATAATTTTAAATTAAAAACTTTCAATAAAGTCTTGCTTTTACAAACAAACAAACAAGTATAAAATTGGCAATACAATTTTATACTTTCAAGACAACGTAATCAAACCAGTATGTGATCTATTCCACATCAAACCAAATTCCAGAATACCTACATTTTCACATTCCTCACACATGACAGTGCTAGTCAATTCACCAACAAAGATCCTATCTATGAAGTTCATCTTCACACCCTCTCTTCCATATGCTGAAAAAACATTGCCTTTTTTAAATGTGAAAAAGAACAGATCCAATGCCACACTATAAGTACAACAAAATTCTTTCTAAGATTTATTGTGAAAGCACAATTTTAAACATATTCAAAATGTTTTGAACATAATACAATAACTAATGCATCATATACTGTATTATCTCAACATTTAAAAATATTCTAGTGATACGATTCCCTTTTATCCTTCCCTTCCCCACCTAATGTAACAGAATAATAATACTGTATCTCTCAAGAAGAAGCCTTTTAAATAAAATCTCAGTTTTCTTCTGAATACAGAGTATTGTATAGCCTTGATATAGGCACTAGAGTACCAGACAGGTTGTTATCCTTTCTAAATAGTTTTTGAAACTATAAAACTCTAAAAAATGAGACAAAAGCCTGTCAGACATCTCTGTGCCTTAACTGTTCCAAATTTGGGAAGGGTGACTTTCAAAACAGCTTAATCATTATTGAGACTTTAATTAAAACAAAATCCCCAAAATTAGAACTTTTGCATAAACACACACACAAAAAAATGAATTTAAAAATTCTTGTTTTGAAAAGATACGTCTTCTTTGGAAACAACTTCCTATCTTGGCTTTGTAATCACATTTAGAGTGCTCACAGTATGAGTCAGCTGACAGAAATCAGTTTTGTTTATGAGCAGTGGCCTCTCTGAGTGATACAATAATTGTGGCTGTATAACACACCTGAAAATGCAGCAAACTATTTTAGGGAACAAAATTAAATGCTACCTATCATTACAAGAGGCATTATTAATACAGGGGAAGACTTGATCCTGGATGGAAAGATGCAAGTCAGCACATACTAAGCTCTCTATCCTTTAGATATGCACTAGGTGGCACTAGAATAACACATAATAAGTCTTGTAACTACAGTACTTCGGGACTGCTGTTCACAATAGTCAGTTTTGAAGAAAATGGTATTTAAAAACTTGTGCATTTCTAAAAGTTTTCAATAAAGAGTTGCATACCTTTGACTTTTCTTCTAGTTTCATCATCTGCCGTCTTAGTAGTTGGATTATTAAATGCTCTTAAGATACCAGTTTGTATACGCTATAATTAAAAATAAAAAAAGCCAAAATATTTAGCAAGTATTTTAAGTGTAAACATTCTAAAAACTATTAATATATGATTACATTTTATCTACTCTTATGGTCGTAAAATAAGCCTAATTTAATATTTTAAAACTACTGCTGTTTTTCACTAACAGTATCAAAAGTACATGAGCTTAACTTCCGTAGGTAACCATCCAAAAATTTCCTCCCCTTAAAAAGGGAGTCATTGTAGAGCACTCGATAGGTTATCAGGAAACTGTAAGATTTTCAGTGAAAAAATACTATCCATTGCTTCATCTGTTGGAGGGGGGAACATGCTGAAGAATGGGCTATTACTGAATGACTAGGATACAAAATACTTGAAGGCAGCTAAGTATCTTTTAATAGACAGACTTGTGTTTGGGCAGTGTTTTTATTACCTGTGTTTATTTTCTAACACTGCACATTTCAGAGTTATGTTGGAAAACCTTAGGAGAGATACAAAACTTTTTATGAATCCATACAAATGTCATCAACATTTGCTCAAAAAATCCTAAAAATCACATTGTTGAAAGAAGAATCAGAAAGAAGCAAATTCATCCTGGTGAGCTGTAGCTGCACCTTCAAGACAGGGCATGCTTTCCCGCCTATTTCTCAGCTTCCCTGGGATAAGGCGATGCTGTATTCCTGGGACGTGTACCCTGGCAGCAGAAGCAGCAGAGGCTGGTAGAAAAGGTGGCTCAGCTCAACCTGCGACACACCACGGAGAGAGAAGCAGGAGCGTGAATCAGGTCCCCTGGCAGGGAACACTGTAGTGGGCATGACCCGTGCTTCCCTTTTTCCTGGCAAATGTACTGGCTCTCTAATCCGCAAACTTTAGTACGTACAGGTCTCCCATGTCAGGCAGATGACATTTATAATTAAATGCGTCACTGAAGTCACACTTAGAGCAAAGTACCATTTGAGAAACAAATGGCGATACCAAACCTTCTGCAAGTAACTCAAACCCTGTGTCCTAACAGGAGAAGACTAATAAATAGCTCTTGTTTGCAGGCAGCAAAGTACCCATCTATTACAAAAGTGTTTGGATGACAGACAGCATCAGAGGTTCTGTTTCCAGTTCAGGCACCCATCAGACTAAGTCATACTCCTACCTTATGAGTATGTGACCTGGCTTGTGAATTAACTCCCGCTGCCCCGAGCTCAGCTTTATTCATCTTAAAGCCAGCAATATACTAAAAGGACTAATCAATAGGTAATTCATGAAGTTGAGCACCATAAATGGGTTTAGGGCCATAAGCAACCCTTTTGTTGGGATTAGTGCGTTGAACCATTTATTTAGGTCAAAGAAAGACATAGTCTTTGAATGGGCAGGGTGCTGCGGACAATGGAAGCAGACATTAATCAATTAGCAGCAGGGTTCAGCCACTTCAGGCCTTGGTGTGAAACCATCTCCGGCCCACATTGCTGGAAACGGCAGACAGTATGTCATCTTCACTGTAGTATCGACAAGCTTTTATCTTAAAAAATCCACCTGTGTACATACAGATTTTCGAACTTTTTTTAACGTGGTTAGGAAAAAGTTCAACACTGGCGTCGGAAAGCCTTTTTATGACATACAAAACCACAGAGAAGTGGAAGAAGTGGAATGCATTATTTTGGTTAGCTCCCATAATTAGTGCCTTGTTATGTATCACATGTATTTCTCATCAAAACTCTTTGAGTTTAAAAACAACTAAATCCGGTAGGGATACGGAAGCAGCGCTCTCGCAAGTGGATGGCAAAGAGTCCGGCTGCCCTTTCAGCAGGCCTGTTCCCTCTTCCGAGAGTGAAGTTTAAAAGTGGCATGAAAGAGCAGGGTTAGGGGCTCTAACCCCTCCTGCACGACTCTGGTGGCAGACACGCTGCTGCAGGCTGGCTGTCCCCAGCCAGAGCCCGCGTGATGGTGAGGCCGCGGGGGCAGCTGCCAGGCTCCCTCACCACCCGCCTGCCATTCGGCACACCATCTACAAGACCCCAAACACGGGATAATTAAATGAAGACTGAGAGCTTTTACATGTCCTGTCTCTGGCGGAGCAGCCCGAGGTGATGGAGATGTGTTTGCAGTAATGTGCCATTAGGGCAGCAGAGGGGTGTAATCACAGGGCAGGGTGGGACCAACCTCTCCCTGTCTGGTGATGGGGCGGCAGAAACACTCTGCTGCCCAAAAGGTCACTTAAAATTCTCACCATCTTCCATTGCTCTTTTGTGGTAGCTACCGTAGCTGTCACTGCACTCTAATAATAAATGATTCAAAAGGCAAATAGCAACACAGGTTATCATAATGACAGCACGTTCACTGGTGAAACAGGAGATTGACTTGAGGGGAAAGCGCAATCACCCACTGGAGAAGCTGCTTAGTTCTTGTAATAATCCTGCTTTTGGTGAATCCTCATTTGTGAAGGAAATATATTTTCCACCTTTTATTACATGAAAATCAATTAACAACAAAATAAGGTTTCCCTGTACTGCAAAACACGGCAACTGTTTTTTAACTAAGGTCAGCTGCTTCTTCTGTTGCGTGCTGCGTTCAACGCCTTATTTTGCAAGCGTGACAAAGTCAAGGTTTAGCTGTTTCTCCCTGTAGTTCAGTTCTGCTTATGATCAAGTATACTGCTGACAAGACCCATGTATATTAATATCCTGCTAGGATGGGGATTCTAGCGCTACTCCAGTGCCAGGAACTGGGCTCAGACACAGCTTGATATCTCATCTCCAAGATAATTCAGCTCAGGATCACAACATTCATCACATTGCTAAAGGAGAGGGAAGCGGAAGAATGAGATTTAAGGCCCTCCTTTTGACAAGACTTAGAAAAGGAGGATTACCAGAATATCATCTGAAAGGAAGGTTCCAAGACTAAGTCAGGCAAATGAAATCAGATATGGTCAAAATAGTTCGAGGAAGCAAACACATACGTTGTTGCATTCAACAATGCAGGAGGTAGAAATAAAAAAGGACACATCAGAAAAACCACATGGGGATGTTTCTAATGTAATATAACTGGTTATATATTTACCATGCTTAGATGTAGATTTTAAATAATGAAAAGTAGCACCTTATTTATACAGCAAGTAGTTCTTCACACGTTCAAAAGATACAAGAAACTTTGCAAGATTTTATTTTTGTCTTTTTTTTAATTGAACTAGATTTCAATGAAAATTATGGGCAGGCCCACAGCTAGGAGCTGCTAATTTCTGTCCCAACACTTTAAAATGCACTTTGCCAGGTAGATAAAGGTTCTACTTTCTTGAGTCCTCAGGAGTCCTTTTATTTTTTTAATAACGGCAAACAATTCAGATTCCTAAAGTTATCATGATCTGCTTACCATATTCTTTCTACTGCTGACTGAAACTTTTCTTCCAATTAGCAATTTTAACATATCAACATGAATATAATTAAATCCTCTTTCAAAAAAGTCATTATTTTTCTCAAGATAACAAAAATAGTTACACCTAATCCATTAAGTACACCTTCAAAACATTGGGAACGTAAAGAACGTTGAAGCAACAACTAGTAGTTCACCATACAGTCTAGTAAGTTCTTTAAAAACACACACAAAGACATTACCTTTGTTTCTTCAATCCTCATTGCATCCAACAGATAGTGCAGAAGCTCCTGGCTGTCCTGCTGCTGGAACCCCTTAAATCGAGGAGCCCTAGGGAAGAAGTGGTAAGGAATTTAAATTTACACTGAGAGGTTCTTAATGAGACAAAATCTACATCAGACTTTTGGGTGCCAGGGGTACAAATAGGTGCAATCCCTGCTGGATGTAAAATGGGGCTTTAGGAAGCTCCTGGTGTGGTTGTAATTACACCAACAAGGCTGCACTTTCATCTTGGTAGTGTTTTGACTTTAATGGGGATGGCTCGACTAAAACACAGCTTTGCCAATAGAGTTTCATCCATGCTAGCAGCACTTTCCTGACAGACTACACCCAGTAATTCTGTATTGCCAAACATTCACGATGTCATGGAGGAAAGAGAAAGAAGATTTTCAAAGTGCCTTTTTTTTCTTTTTTTACATTTTTTTCAAAGTTATCTGGACAACCCATGGAAGATCATAAATGATCCACACTGTTACTGTGATATAATATCGCTATGTTTCCTATCGCTATTCATGTACTTTACTAATCTGAATAGCCAGCATTAAAAACAAAATCCCGATACAATGCTCTTTTCTCACACTATCCAGGTTTAGAAGATGGGGGATGGTGTGGTCCATCCCATCCGAACTTTATAACGCTTGGTAAAATCTTCTAAATCTCATTCCCATGCTGCATCCGTGAGCACAGGTGTTAGATACGCCAGCCCCAAGCCTACCAGCATCAGTTCCTGCATGGCAGCCCCCCATGGGGATTTCCCTGGCCGTCCCCAAAACAGTGGTAAGCAGCATCTTGGGCTGAGCGCGTGAAGTGGCCTGTAGGAGAAAGCCACGAGGCTGCAGGTCTCCAGCTTGTCATTTTGTTTGTGAGGTGAGCGATAAGCGCTTCTTGTACAACGGTGTGCCACAGCCCTCCTTTTTACAATAAACTTGAATGAAGGAGGGGTTTTTTTGTTTTGTTTTTGAGATACACATGAGCTAAAAAGCATTAGAGCTGCAACTGAAAAAGATACTGCTTCTGCATAAATAACATCACTATTTTTTGGATGTGCGATACTGAATGACTGAAATTCTCAGACTACAAGCCCACCTTCTAGAGTACTATATACTGGCTACTGAAGTTAAAGAGAGATTTAAATCTCCAAAGACTACAACAGGTTCTTCAAAAAAAAAAGTTCAGTGTACTTCCAAACTTTTCATCTCTAGAAATTAAAAGTCTCGAAGGGAAGGGTCTACACGCCTTAGAAAATACACATCTGGTGTCGCCCTTGTCCTCTTAGACTACACCATCCTTCAAGCTGTCCTCCTCCGTGGTGCCTGGCCACAGCACCAGCAAAAACGAGCCAGCTTGCCAGTCAGCCCAAGGATGCAGGAGGGACGCAGGCACTGGCTGAGTTTGTACCATTAACACTTTGCTACGCAGGACAAACAAAAACCAAAGGCTCCACAGGAAAGGCAATTCTTGTAAAAAGGCCACCAGCAGCATCCGCATGAGCCTCATAAACCAAAAGAGAAAAAACCTGTTTCGGGCGATACTACCATTCACACCAGTGATGTTTTAGCCAACTGCACAGGGGTAACGCATCTGTTCGTAAGACAGCCATTCGGTACTCTCAATCACTGCTACTCAAAAACTGTAGATTCCTTTTTTCACTAATCACAGCATCTAAAGATATTCTGAATATCATATTTTGCAGGCATAGATTACATAGAAATTACAAAATACACTAATGAATATGTGGATAGGTCCTTAAGGTGTTATCCTTACTAAGATAACCATAGCTAGAAGGTTTCTCAGTAACAATTTGGATCTCCAGCTTCTTGCAATCCCAGATGCGACTGTGTAAATACTCACTATTAACGTACCTCTATTCACATTAACTGTAACTTACTGGGCAAAACAGGCCTGTCTTTCCAAGGAAGTTACCCTTTAGATCTTTAATTACAGTCCTAGACCAATTCATCTAAAATGGGATTTGAAAGGGTGGCTTTTTGCATTTCCAGTAATCCCACCAAATAGCAGCTGTGACTCTCACTGCACACTGGGAAGAGCACATGGAGGCGCACCTCCGTGCACCCTTTCCAAAATCTAGCATGGGAGACAACTGGCTGAGCAGAGCTCGCACAGGAATCCTATCAAACTGTCACAGTGGCCAGAAAAACCAACCACTCACTCGGTTACTTGACATTATTAAAGGCATGTTGAGCCAGTTTTCACTTCCAGCCTCAGACTGCGTGCTCTGGCTAACCTGAGCTGGAACTAGCCATGCTCTTCAGTTCTTCTAGGGTCCTGAAGGTGAGGTTTCTTTCCCACTCATACACTAAAGCTGCTCAGGTTTGCTTCAGAAATTTGTGCTCACGGATAAGAGAAATTAAAGGCGACCACACAATGCATCAGACACGCAACGTGCCTACAACACTAAGACTTAAAGCTGGGCAAGATGTCGAGATGCCAAGTTAAGACACAGCGGCCCTGGGCTACAGGAGGGAGAGTGATACAAGGGTCTCGGTTTTGAACTGCTTGCTGGAGGCACTCTGGGGTGCAACTGGAGAAGGATCGAAGGTGACAAGGCATCTAAGGTCAGTGCCTAAAATTAAGTGGAATAAATCTGGACTTGCATATGCAAAACAACATGTTCACATTTACAAATACGATACTTTCACATTCATACTTCGCATCTACTTTTTGAGACAAAGTGGACAATATCCCTAGTTAAAAATGATTTAATGATGCTGCTCAATTATGAGGCTTACTATAAAATCTGCAATCAGCAGAGTAGGTGATTTTTTTGCCCCCGCCCCCTTTTTTTGCATGTGCAGGTCAACCTAAAAAATTAATTTCAAATTAAAAAAAAAATTCAAACTTGAAATACTTCTCTTAAAAATACTTTTGTTTAGTATTGTAAAAATGCAGGGTTTTCTTCTATTAATATAAAATGTTTTATTTCCAATTAGTTTCATAATAAAAACCAAATGCATTCTGAAAAGCACTAAGCCCTTATTTTGGATCCAATAAAACACTCAATATACATTAAAAAAATAAGTAAAATATGCACCTGTGTGTACATGTTTACAGGAATGTGAACATACATTTTCACTTTTCAATTTGCTAAAACAGTTTCTGTGTTGGGTTTGCGTGGCAAGGTTTTGGTGGCCGGGG